TCATGTGACCTTTAAGGAAGTTGTGCCAGCAGAGGTCAAGGTCACAGCTAGTGTGGCCGAGCTGTGAATCACATGTCATCTCCTGCCTGTCCTCCCATACTGGACCCCATGCTATACCCCTCTGCTCAGCCACCACGGGACCAAGTAGGGGACCTGGGGCCAGGACGGGGTTGACCCCAGCTAGATAGCTGCTTTTCAAGAATTAAAGGATTCCACAGACCTCCATTCTGTGCAGGCCTGAGTGTTTGGGAAGGCAGCCAGGTCATAAGTCTCAGCTTGTCTTCTGAGTTTAAGGAATCTTAATTATGAATATAGATTTTGCTAATCATATTTTCCGAATGACCAGTGAGTATGTGAGATGGCACGCCAAGAGACAGGGTCAAGTTCCTCAGCCTCAGAAGCAGCTACTATGTTGCATGAAGCCATAGCCAGAGAGAAAGACCCTTCATATAAGGAGGCAGAGGTGTAAATTTCACTCAAGTGAGACCCCAACAAGGAAGGGATTCTCCCCACCGCAGCTTGCAGATCCACTTATTTTGTGGTTAATAAAAAAATAATGGTAACAGGGCGGTAGAGTCTTTCTCAAATCCTGCAGTCGAGATGACTAGAGCTGGGGGGAGCTACAATGTCGCCTTATTCCTTAGTAGAGCCTCCACAAAATGTTAAGGATCTGAAAACTAGTGAGGGGCATTCTGTGCTACCAAGAGAGACCGAGGGGGTCCGGGCCGAGCACTCTGGAGGTGATCACTTCCCCGGGTCTCTTTTGCAGTTGACCTGGCGCAGGTCTTGGAGCTGGATTCCCTGGAGTACTTGGAGGCGCTCGAGTGCGTGACAGAGCGCCTGGAGAGCCGTGTCAACTTCTGCAAGGCCCACCTCATGATGATCACCTGCTTCGACGTCACCTGCAGGCGCCGATAAGGGAGCCAGACCCCTCACTCCCCAAGACACGGCAGAGACGTCGCACCCATCCCCCCACCCCCAGGCCCTCTGCGCTGGTGGCATCGGAGAACAGTGAATGACAACGAAGGTTGGTGGCAGGTGTGGAGTGAGCGTTGAGCAGGCGGCGATTTTTCTTTTGTTTTCTGTAGGAAAGGTGCAAACACCAAACACGCACGGAAGGTGGAAGCAATGGGAGGCCCCAGGGAGGTCGAAGCCCCGTGAGACTGAAAAGCACTTTGAAGAACTGTACAGAGCGTGTTTGTACATCAGAGCTGCTAGCAACAGAGACCTCACTCTTTCTTGCTTTTGTGAGAGAGGGACAGGGTGGGCGTCGATTGCTGTTGAAGGTATAAAACAAAATGACAACAAAAAGCGACCCAGAATGACTGATTAAGTGCCTTGCAAATCTTTATTATTATCCAAACTTGTATGTTCATACTTTGCCGTGTACAGATGGTGCTAGTCAAGATGAAAACAACGAAACCAACAAAAAAAGAAAATCAAACACATGTTTGAAATGTATTTACAGCTTGTTTTTCTCTTGCTGTCTTATCCCGTTTCTGAATTGCTGTTTCTCAGTTGTGTTTGTGGAGGGTAATTCCTAATCGGTATTGCAGATGCATAAATGTCTCGTCTTTTTTGGGTATTCTGGTGAGGCCACTCAGAACACGGAGACTTCATTGGCGTGACTACGTTTCCAAAGAAGGTTGGGAGCAGTGACACTCGATGCCACCTCCCACGAGCAGCACAGTC